GAGAAGGTGGGGTGGTGCGTGGTCTTTTCTGGTTACAAGGGGAAAGTGATGCGGCCAGTAGGGACACTGCTAGTAGATACAGAAACAACCTGAAGAAGTTCTTTACCGACATTCGCAATGATATCAAGCCTCGATTTTTACCCATCATTGTTGTAAAAATAGCTGGCTACGACACGTTTATGGAGCATGATACTCATGATTTGCCAGCAGTAAGGGCAGCAGAAGATGCAGTTCAACGAGAGCTACCGAACATTGTGACCATCGACGCCTTGAAATTAGTGAACACTATCACCGGGGAAGGCTTTAACTTGGATCGTGGTCATTATAATGTCAAGACTGAGATTGCTTTGGGCAAATGGTTGGCTGACACCTACCTCTCTCACTATGGCCAATTGCTCTGATCCTATTGGTTTTCTATCTTTAATATCTCTTTAACAATTTTATATTATCTATATAAAAATCATCCTTACACCCTCTTTCATACCTCTCATCTCTATTTCATCAACATAATTAATATTTCTTGTCAATTCAATAAATAAAACAATCAAATAACTAACCTAACTAATATTTCTGGTCAATTCAATAAATAAAACAATCAAATAACTATTATTATAACTAAAGTATATTAATATAACTTTTAATACAATATTTTTTCATTAAAAGAAAAAATCTCTCTCTAATTCAATAGTTCTTCCCTACCCTTTCCCCCTTTTCTCCTACCAGCTTTTCTTATTCAATTTTAATTTTAATTTTTTTGAAGTCATGTACTTGAGACTCTACAAATTTGTTATAATTATCCTCACTTACCAAATTTCCTGTCTATGAAAAAGCATATACCATTAATTAATTACTTATGCTATCAACTTAAGTATAATTCAATTGGTTAAGATATATATACTCGGTTGAAAAAAATGTTATGCTTTCTTTTTATAATAATAAACTACTTTAAAATATAACTTTCAGTTTTAGAGGATAAAAATAGACATTATTCGAAATCCAGAAACAGCTGCAAAATATGATATATTCATAATGTCTAAATTATTAAATGATTTTAATTTATTGAAGTAAGATATTTTTCTAATTATGGAGAGAAGTTGAGGTTTAAAATATTGTTGGCACCCAAAAAATTAGATATTTTCAGAATTAAAAAGACATGTTTTAATCTTATAAACTAAATATTTAAATTTAAAAAAAATGCAAGATAGGATTGAAACAATATACGAAGATAAACAATAAAAGGTCTATGTTTCTAAACTTTTAAAGTATTGTCCATTTAATATGATTTTTAAAAATTTTACAACTTTTAATTAGCCAATATAGAATTAACTTACCTTAATTAATAAGGAAAATTAATGAAAATTTTGAATTTTTTAGCCTATAGAATTAACATATATTTCATTCCATTGTAAAATGAATTACTTTCTCCTCATTGATTATTTTTTATTCTAATATAATTCTCTAAATAAAATTGAACGATTGTATTAGAAATTCAATGTAGAAGTTGCAGTAAAGATAATTCAGCTACATGAAAAAAAGTAGGAGAAATTTGAGATTTTCTAGATCGAGTTGTATCGTTGTTTACCAATGTTTTCCCACAACCAATATTTATACATACATAATTTTTTACCCAAAGAAAAAAAAATTAAAAATCCAAATCCCAAAATTAGTTAAATGAAGAAATTTTTCCAAAAGGAACTGACCTTGAAATTTCATCCACAAGGCAATCCCCATCTCGATTCTTTGACTAATCCAACGAGGAATTTTGCAAGGAAGAATGATTTTGAGAGCAGAGACGGGAATGACACTTTGGATCACATATGAGAGTTTTTTTTTTTTTTTTTGTGATTTTATTTTTCAAATGAAAGTCTAATAAAGGCAAAAATGGTTAAACTTATTGAGATTTAGGTAAATATTGCAACATTTATACAAGTTTATGATTTAATTTCATGAAATTAAAAGTTTAAGGTACAATATAACTAACTTGTAAAAGCTTCTGTTTCAAATTTTTAATTTTTTTTTCGAGTTCTTTTATTAAAATGGGTTTAACGAAAGTTTTTTTTTTCGGGAGAACCAAAAGGAAGTTCAACTTCTATTCCCCGAATTGTTAAAAAACAAAAATCATTTTTTTGTCCTTTATTTTTTATTAAATCTTTATTCGGGGATTGTAACCTAAATGTGTGTCACGGTTTCAGACGAAAAGGAAATAACATCTTTATTTGAATACCGCCGGTTAACGAGTTTTTTGGAAATTCTTTTTACGAGTGGTACGATTGTATTTTTACTCCAAGTTTTTGAAAATTGTTTCATTATTTTTTCCTAGTAAAAAATTCTATAATTAAAATTAGTGAAAATGTAATTTTTACCAAGTTCATGGTAAGAAGTATTAATTTTTACCTCAAACATGAATAAGTGTGATAATTTTTACTTTTTGATAATCTTTTATTTGAATAATTTTCTTGGAAAAAAAACTCATTTTTCCATGAACTTAGGAAGGCATATTAATTTTTACCCTAACTTTCAGTTTGATCTACTTCTTTAGTTTCCTTCTTGTTTGATTCTAATTTTCATATCAGGTTGAACCATCATCTCTTCTAGAGAGTTGATGAATTCTATTTGTTTTCATAAATAAATGTTTTTTAGTTTATTCTTTTGAATTATCATGTGAGTCGAGAGACCTACAAGACCTAAAGAATTTGTTGTTAATAAGTTTCTAATTTTTAATTTTAGATAGGAATATTGGAATTGCAATTAAAAATTAGGTCAAACTTGCAAGTCGGATGAATTAGATTTTTTGACTACAAATCATGAAAGAATAGATAAAATTAATTCACCGTGATTTTAGAAATCAATAAGGTGAAATCAAATCGTTAAAGGTCTTTTAACATTTGTTTTTATCTTTATCTTTTTACCCCTTGCGATATTGCAAGTTGCGAAAAAAGTGATTAGAAAAACATATTAGTTTAGTGATCAACTTATAATTTTACCCATTTCTATTTTTAAAAAAAAATATAATTTAACCAAAATAAAATAAAATTTCTTTCTTAGTTTTTTATTTTTTATTTAGTATTATATATAAATAACAAATGGGGTGAGATCTAACATGATTTAGGCCGACAAACACTCACTCACCACAAATATTAACCAATAAAATTTAACTTTAAAAGCTATATCATACTAAAAATAGAACCAAAATTGCATATAAAAAGTGAGGATCATAGTGGAGAAAGGCAGAGGCAAGGATTAGCCAACCAAAAAAAAAGATTAGAGTTTCTGAGGAAGAGTAGTTGTGTTTGTGCAAATAGACACAAGGGAAAGTTTACATTTTTTTACATTAGTAAAAGTCATTTCCATTCATTTACACTTTCCTTCTGTGTTTATTTGCACAGACACAAAAGGTCAAATGACTTTATTGAGACTATCGATCTTGTTATGTATGATTCTATGTGGCCCTTCCCTTTCAGGGGCTACTTCTCCTAAGAACATATTCATCCTCGCCGGTCAGAGCAACATGGCTGGTCGAGGTGGGGTTGAGAAAGATCGATCAGGCAACCTTGTRTGGGATGGATATGTCCCACCCGAGGCTCAACCCGACCCATCCATCCTTCGATTGAACCCTGAGCGTCAATGGGAGGTAGCACGAGAGCCTGTCCATGAGGGAATCGACATAAACAAGACAGTTGGAGTTGGTTCAGCAATTGCATTTGCTCACCAGCTACAGGCCAAAGGCGGGTCAAAGGTCGGTTCTGTGGGCTTAGTTCCTTGTGCTAGAGGTGGCACTCTAATCGAACAATGGGTAAAAAACCCTAGCAATACTAGTGCGACTTTTTACAAGAATTTCATTGAACGAATTCAAGCATCGGATCGAGAAGGTGGGGTGGTGCGTGCTCTTTTTTGGTTGCAAGGGGAAAGTGATGCGGCCAGCAGAGACACTGCTAGTAGATACAAAAACAACCTGAAGAAATTCTTCACCGACATTCGCAATGATATCAAGCCTCGATTTTTACCCATCATTGTTGTAAAAATAGCTGGCTACGACACGTTTATGGAGCATGATACCCATGATTTGCCAGCAGTAAGGGCAGCAGAAGATGCAGTTCAACGAGAGCTACCGAACATTGTGACTATCGACGCCTTGAAATTGGTGAACACTGTCACCGGGGAAGGCTTTAACTCGGATCGTGGTCATTATAATTTCAAGACTGAGATTGCTTTGGGCAAATGGTTGGCTGACACCTACCTCTCCCACTATGGCCAATTACTCTAATCCTATTAGTTTTCTATCATTAATATCTTTTAACATTTTTATATTATCTATATAAAAATAATCCTTACACCCTCTTTCATACCTCTCATCTCTATTTTATCTCAACATAATAAATATTTCAGGCCAATTCAATAAATAAAACAATCAAATAACTAGTAATATCATTCAAGTATATAAATATAACTTCTAGTACAATATTTTTTCATTAAAGGGAAAAAAGTAAATCTATTCTTTCCTATATTTTGTGGTGTTACTTCATATATATATATATTCTCTAATTATCCAATTCTAATTTTAATTTTTTGAAGTCGTATGCTTAGACTCTACAAGTTTGTTATAATGTCTCACTTACAAAATCTACTCGAAAAATCATATCGTATTAATTAATAATTTATACCACCTATCAATGAAATATATTCGATCAAAAAATTATAGGTTCAAATTCTCACACCCAATATGTTATTTAAAAAAATTTTATGCTTGCTTTTGTAATAATAAACTACTTTAAAGGATAGCTTTCAATTTTAGAGGATAAATAATATAGACATTAATACATTCTTCAAAACCCAAAAACAGTTGCAAAATATGATATTCCTAATGCCTGAGTTATAAATGACTTTAATTTGTTGAAGTAAGGTATTTATTAATTAGGGAGAAAAATTTTGAGATTTATAGGCACCCGAAAAATTAGATATTTCATAATTAAAAAGATATGTTTTAATCTTATAAACTAAATATTTAAATTTAAAAAATGCAAGATATTATTGAAATAAAAGGTATATGTTTATAAACTTTTAAAGTAATGTTTATTTAATTCTTATACTTTAAAAGTTCTGAATAGATTCTTAAGAATTAAATTGTGTTAATTAGTATGAAGAAATAACTTGTATTCGAGAGACAGTTAAAAATTGAGATATTTATAGGATCATAGGTAGGTTACAAGAGCCCACAATTTTTTAGTATAATATGTGACACTTTGTTCGGCTTCAGAGAGTGGGGAACCCAGTCCTATCCCAATGTCGTTGYTCGAGGTTGACGCAAGTCAACTTTGTCGTAATTGGTGGATTCATATGTCTTCATCCTTTTTGCTTTCTTCCCCTTGTTTATTTGTGAAAGCTAGGCTTCCTGGTGGTATGAAAGAAAGATTCACGCAAGAAAAGTGATTACAACAATCTCCCTTTCTCGAACATAACATATACCATAGGAGAAGACATTTGATTCTAAGACTTTTGAGTACCGGGAGATCTTTACATTTTTAAAAAGAATAAAATGAGAAGAAGAATAGGGAAGAAGATGCAAGAATTCCGGTCTTCGAGGCCTTGCTACCTTGTCTTTGTCCTTTGGGTTCTTGGGGACTGAATCTCCTCCTTATCCTACTGAGAGCTTCTCTTTCTTTCTCCTTCAAGCACTTGAGTGCCTCTTCAAAGCTCCAAGTGTGAATTCGTTGGATCACATATGAGAATATTTTTTTTTAGTGATTTTATTTTTCAAATCAAAGTTTAATAAAGGTGAAAATTGCGAAACTTATTGAGATTTAGGTAAATATTGTAATATTTATGTAAGTTTATGATTTAATTTCATGAAATTAAAAGTTTAAGGAACAATGTAACTAACTTGTCAATTTTAGGAGTAGTACGATCGTATTTTTGCGCCAAGTTTTCCAAAATTGTTTCACTATTTTTTCCTGGTCCAAAATTCTATAATTAAAATTAGTGAAAATGTAATTTTTACCAAGTTCATGGTAAGAAGTATTAATTTTTACTAGTTTTATCGATTTTAACAGTCATCTTGGACAATTGCAGCAATGTTTACCTAATGTTTACCTAAAATTTGAATAAGTATTGTAATTTTTACCTTTTATAATCTTTTGTTTGAATAATTTTCTTGGGAACAAAACTCAATTTTTATTAACTTATCAAGGTATAATAATTTTTACCCTAACTTTCAATTTGATCTACTTCTTTAGTTTCCTTCTTGTTTGATTCTAATTTTCATATCAGGTTGAACAAATCCTATTTGTTTTCATAATTAAATGCTTTTGATTTCTAGTTTATTCTTTTATTCATGATGGTTTGAATTATTATGTTCCTAATGCTTATTTACTACTGTAGAAAAGTTCATTTAGGCTTAGATTATGAGGAGAGGAGAATTTAGATTATATATTAATAATTCAATATAGAGATTTCGTTAGGTCGAGAGACCTACCAAATCTTACGAGGCACATAAAGAATATGTTTTTAATAAGTTTATAATTTTTAATTTTAAATAGGGATATTGGAATTGAAATAAAAATTAGGTCAAACTTGCCAGTTGGATAAATTAGAATTTTTGACTAGAAATCATAAGAGAATAAATAAAATTAATTGATAATCTGTGAAATCAAATCTTTAAAAAGTCTTTTAACTTATTTTTTAATGTTGTTACCTAGTCGAATGACAGCTATTTTTTCATCATCTATGTTAAAACTTAACATTCTACCCTTGCAGTATTGCAAGCGACGAAGATTGTTTTATTTGACATAACATTAAAAGTCAAGTGACTCGTTAGAAAAACACACTAGTTTTATTGATCAAACTTATAATTTTATCCTTTACCAAATTTTTTTAAAAAAAATTATAATTTAACCAAAATAAAAATAAATTTTCTTTTGAGTTTTTTTTTTCTTTTTTTAGTAACCGGGTGGAATCTAAAATGACTTAGGCCGACAAACACTCACTACCTACGAATATTAACCAATAAAATTTAACTTTAAAAGCTATATCATACTAAAAATAGAACCAAAATTGCATATAAAAAGTGAGGATCATAGTGGAGAAAGGCAGAGGCAAGGATTAGCCAACCAAAAAAAAAGATTAGAGTTTCTGAGGAAGAGTAGTTGTGTTTGTGCAAATAGACACAAGGGAAAGTTTACATTTTTTTACATTAGTAAAAGTCATTTCCATTCATTTACACTTTCCTTCTGTGTTTATTTGCACAGACACAAAGGGTCAAATGGCTTTATTGAGACTATCGATCTTGTTATGTATGATTCTATGTGGCCCTTCCCTTTCAGGGGCTACTTCTCCTAAGAACATATTCATCCTCGCCGGTCAGAGCAACATGGCTGGTCGAGGTGGGGTTGAGAAAGATCGATCAGGCAACCTTGTGTGGGATGGGTATGTCCCACCCGAGGCTCAACCTGATCCATCCATCCTTCGATTGAACCCTGAGCGTCAATGGGAGGTAGCACGAGAGCCTGTCCACGAGGGAATTGACATAAACAAGACAGTTGGAGTTGGTTCAGCAATTGCATTTGCTCACCAGCTGCAGGCCAAAGGCGGGTCAAAGGTCGGTTCTGTAGGTTTAGTTCCTTGTGCTAGAGGTGGCACTCTGATCGAACAATGGGTAAAGAACCCTAGCAATACTAGTGCAACTTTTTACAAGAATTTCATTGAACGAATCCAAGCATCAGATCGAGAAGGTGGGGTGGTGCGTGCTCTTTTCTGGTTACAAGGGGAAAGTGATGCGGCCAGCAGGGACACTGCTAGTAGATACAAAAACAACCTGAAGAAGTTCTTCACCGACATTCGCAATGATATCAAGCCTCGATTTTTACCCATCATTGTTATAAAAATAGCCGGCTACGACACGTTTATAGAGCATGATACTCATGATTTGCCAACAGTAAGGGCAGCAGAAGATGCAGTTCAACGAGAGCTACTGAACATTGTGACCATTGACGCCTTGAAATTAGTGAACACTATCACCGGGGAAGGCTTTAACTTGGATCGTGGTCATTATAATGTCAAGACCGAGATTGCTTTGGGCAAATGGTTGGCTGACACCTACCTCTCTCACTATGGCCAATTGCTCTGATCCGATTGGTTTTCTATCTTTAATATCTTTTAACATTTTTATATTATCTATAAAAAAAATAATCTTTACACCCTCTTTCATACCTCTCTCATCTCTATTTCATCTCAACGTAATGAAAACTCGTATATAAATATAACTTTTAGTACAATATTTGTTCACTAAAAAGAAAAAAATATATAGTGTTCGGATTCTACAACATTTAGTGCCAAAAAATATATAAAAATTACTACCATACGGTAGTTTAAAAACTATTTTTTTAATCTAATATACTATATTTAGAGTCATTCGGTTCAATTTGACTAATTTTTTATTTTGATCGATTTTGTTGGATAGTTTGACTCTTTTGGTAATGTATAGACTTTCTAACTCAATAGTTATTCCCTCCCCTCCTTCCCTCCTACCAAGTTTTCTTATCCAATTTTAGTTTTAATTTTTAGAATTCATATACTTAGTCTCTACAAGGTTGTCATAATATCATCACTTACAAAATCTATAGTCTTTCATTTGAAAGTAAGCATGACACTAATAAATAACTTAGAAATGCTGAAACATTCACAATGTCATGTACTTATTGACAACATAAATCAATTAGTTCAAATATATATATCCTTGATCAAATATTCAAATTCTCACACCGGTATTGTTAAAAAAAAGTCATGCTTCCTTTTGTAATAATAAATCTACTTTCTTTCAATTTTAGAGGATAAATAGCAAATAATACAATCAAAGCAAAAAGAACTATAAAATATGATCTATTCACCGTGCTATAATTATAAATGACTTTAATTTGTTGAAGTATGATATTTATCCAATGACAGAGAAAAATGGTTTATATTTAAAATATTATTAGCACCCAAAAAATTAGATATTTTATAATGGAAAAGATATGTTTTAGTGTAATAAACGAAATATGTAAATTTGAAGTTAGCTCAATTCATTAAGGCACCTATCAATTACGTGCATTTTACTTGGCGGGTGAATATTTTGGATTTGGGGAAGAATTTCAAAGGGATATTCTTTCCCACATCAATGCTTTGGTTAACATGCCGTGTGGTAAGTTGAAACAAAATGCATTATTTATTTATTCATTGCGGTTTTATTTTTTTAATAAGGTGGTATTTTATTTTTAAAAGAATTATGCCATGTGATAAGTTTATCACATTTTTTAGTTGTTTTTTTTTTCTTTTTTTTTAGAAAAAAATGCACTGGATTTTTTTTTTAATACAGTGCATTAAAATACATTGGAAGTTGAAACAAAGAAAAAGATTGTATTATTTTTCTCAATCTACCACTTATTTGATAAATTTAAGTTTGAAACTTGATAGTCCAAAGTCTAAAAGGGTAAAAGATCAAAATTGATATTTGCCCTCCTTAAATTTGCAAGTAGCCTCTTCACCGTCCACGTGTACATCTCCTCATTTGATTTAGGGAGCGGAATCAAGGCGACTGAAACTGATAGAAAATTAACCATCGAGAATCGGAAGAGGAAGCACAGCGAGGCAGAGAAATGGCGTCGGTGGTGCGAGGGGTTCTGAAGTCGATCAAAGACAAAGGGATCGGCAATTTCTGGAGAGAGCTGAAGGAAGAAGGCTACTTGTATAATTTTCTTCTCTGTTATTCTTTTTCGATTCATGGTTTCTGTGAAATCTGAGGGTTTTTTACTTGATTAGAGTAGTCGAATTCGAATTCGCGTTCTAATTCGTGCCCTTTATTTCTTTTATGCTTAGTTAATGTAATGTGGCAAGGATTCTCTTTGGGTTCTGGAAAAGGCTGTTTTGATGTTCAATGATCATGAGTGTTTCTTTCCCAGTTTGAATGTTTCGGTCACGAAAAGCAGCGTAAAAATGTTACACGTCTCAGATTATGTGCTGTCCCCATAGTCTTAGAGTGTGCTATTTTGGATTGTTTTTGCAGATTTGTATTTGTGTAGATATGGAATGTGCTGGGTTAAAGGGAATTCGGAAATGATACATGCAAATTCACCTTTGATGACCTTCAATTTGTGGTGTTGCCTAAATTTTTTCCATTTTACGCCAACCATCAGCGGTTGATCTGGTTTACCTAAAAAAGTTGATATACCTGTGAAACTCAAATTGTACCTTTCAGCTGCGTGAACTGGCGTTTTTCATTTAGTACTTCTTCAATTTTAGATATGTGAGTACAGGCATGAGGATTTTTGGTTGTTTAAAGAGGTCTTCGTAAATGGAAGTTTGATTTTTTGCTTTCCTCGAAGAATTTGATTCACGGTTGAATGATGTGCTCAAAATACTTGGTCTGAGTACGTGCTGTCCTTGTTAATCAATCATTGGTTGTACTTTTTTGTTCATTTTGTAAAATGGGATATTGTATCCATCTTTTACCCTATATTAGAATTTGAACTCTGCTCATCTTTTTTCGTTTTAATCTTGCAGGAAATGCCTTGGCGATGGAAACCTATTGTAAGTTAAATTTGCTAGTACAATATTAGGAGCTTTCCTATACTTTGATTTATTCGTAACACCCCCCGCCCCTGCACACGCACGCACGCACGTATAAACACAAGTGGCCGTGCACATAGAAAAATAGTGGGCTTTCCTTGACATGTTGTTTGTGCTAGCATGAGAGGTCTACTTTGTACCTAGTAAGTATTGTTGATAGGGAATGTCTTAGAATCTATGATAAGGATTATGGCTCATGATGAGAACTTGAATGTTCTATGATTGGCTTAGTTTTGATATTCTGAGTAATAATAACAAGGACTTAACAAATTACAGGTTCAAGGTAGCCCTTTTTTTTATAAGCACCACTAAGATTTAATTTCTTTTTTTTGGCATGAAATAGGAACTTTTCATTGATCAGTGAGAAGTTACAATATCCTAGAAAGAGCTCATTTTTAGAGCATTGCATTACAAAGATGTCTTCAAAAATATTATATTCTCAAGTTAATGCATATATCCCCGACCAAAAAGTCGTGGGTTTGAATATCCAACCCCACATTGTGGAACTCAAAAAATATGTATTAAAAAATGTTATAGAGTTATTAAATGACTGCACCCAAAGAAGATACAATGATATTATAAGGATAACATCCAAAGTCATTAGATGAAGTTTACCTGCACCATGATGTTGCAAAAATTTTAATCAACACAAATCCATTTTCCCAAGAAGGCTGTTTGTCTTCAAAGACCCGTTGCTTTCTTTCCACCAGAATAATGCACAATGTTGCTTTGACCATGTTAATTCATAACAATTATCCTCGACTTTTCAACCTATGACTACATAACAGAGTGAAAGTATTGCTTTTAGTCCTGCTTTTTCAATTTTCACATAAAAAGCACCAACTCGTGCACAAATTAGTGGCATCTTTTTCATAAAATTTCAGCTGAAATTAAGTCCTTTCTGAGACACTAACCAGACCAAAATATTAACATTTCTAGGCCTTTTATACTTCCGCATTGCATCAACGAGATATTTAGGTAGAGGACCCTTGTCAATTCTGTAAACAAAGATTTAACTGAAAAGCCTACTGCATCCAGTGCTCAAATTCTTTTATCTTCACTTCTAATGACAAAAACTCCCTCAACTAATTGTAGAAAAGCAAAAAAATCTTCCACTTCCTCATCCCTAAGATTTCTTCTTGTCAAAAACTCTCCATGAGCTTGATTACTTGAATTTTCCCCAGAATTAAAAAACTAAAACATTATGCAATTTTATCAATTGATGGAATGAGAACGGAACTTAAGGCAGAACTTTTAGAAACTATTATAAAGGAGCAGCGTATCTGGTACCAGAAATGTAAATACAGTGGCTGAACTAGGGGGAGAATACACAAGTTTCTTTCACCGATGGGCTTCTAGCGTAGGAACTTTATTTCCTCTTTAGAGATAGAGGGTGGGAGGAACCTAATTTCAGAAGGGGACATAGTCAAGGAAATAGTGAAGTACTTCCCCAATCTGTATGCTGATGCAAAAGAACCACGTTTTACTCTTGACTACCTAAGTTGGTCCCCCATGTGAACGAACTGGAGTGAAAATCTTGAAATTTCTTTTCAGGAAGTGGAAATTTATAAGGTCATTGCTGATTTGGATTGTTTGAAGCCTCCCGGACAGGATGGTATGGCCAGTGAGTTTATGAAAAAAGCTTGGAACATTTTGAAGTCTGATTTGGTAGGGGTGTAAGATTGTTTTGAAAACAGAATTACAAACAACTGCATTAACAAGACCTATATTTGCCTTATTCCAAATAAAGGTAGAGCCACTAAGGTTAGTGATTTTGGATCTATTAGCCTAGTTACGTCTCTCTACAAAATCATCGTCAAGGTGCTTGCTGAGAGAATGAAATAGGTGCTGCCCCTTATTATAGATAATGCCCAAGTTGCGTTTGTTGAAGGTCGTCAAATCCTAGGTGCTATTTAGTGGCTGCAGAGGCTGTGGGTGACTTGAAGAATAAGAAAAGGAAAGGCTATCTACCAAGAGAATTTATAAGGAGACGCACCAAAAGAATCTGAACCGATCCCTTCAATCTTGGTGGAAGACTGCATAAACATCATCAGAGAGTGGAAAAAACTGAAATTTTTTGCAAAAAACTCCATCCATCAAACGATTGAACTTCAATAATATTTAAACTCTCGGCTCATCTTCTAGACCCAAAGCTTTGTATTTTGCAAAAATTTTAATGTAACCATCACCTAACTCCTTCCATTCGTATTGCAGCTCCAACTTTCTTCTAACCCAAGCCTTTTCGCAAGAAAGCACTTCCTTTTGCAATCTTACCAATTCCAGATTTAGAGGCTCAATCCATCTTTATAAGGCAATGTAAGAATTGGAAGGCTATCTCATTGAAGAGTCTGAGGAAGAAGGGGAGGTCGTCTCTATTGACAAGAACTCTAAAGAAAAAGCTCCCAAGAAATTTGCGGTTTAGCTTGAGCCTTTTCTTGAAAGGAGCTGCTATATCTCTAATTCTGAACGAAACAGCCTCAGAGGTGGATTCGATAGCTTCTGTTACTTGGTTGCAGAACAGAAGTCTTACCCTTTGCCTATCTTGGTTTTCCCCTTGGTGGTAATCAGAGAACAGTGTCTTTTTGGGATCCTTTTATTGACAAATTCAAACTCAAGCTAGACAAATAGGGAAGCCTTGAAAGTAGATAGATTCTTGCTCAATCCGTTCTCAAATAGTCTTTCAATATATTACTTTTCTTTGTTTTTTTTGATATCCTTGAGTGTCTGGGCTAGCTTGCGCGCACCTCGACTAATCTCATGAGACAACTGCCTGACCTTACTATATTTGGTTGCCAAGGTAACTAGTAGGATATTAAATCTTAGGTAGGTGGTTACCATGGTTTGAACCCATTCTCTCTAAGCCATTTGCTATTTACATTGGTCCTTATTGATCACTAGGCCACACTCTGATGATTATATTACTTTTCTTTGTTGAAAGCCCTTTGTAAGGTTATCAATTCCTTGGAAAAGATTGTAAGAGACTTTATGTCGAATGGAGGCACATATTGGCACACTAGTAACTTGGTCAAATGAGGACTTCCCTTCCTATTTGTCACGGGGAATGGGAGTGGGCTCCTTTGAACTCGGAAATACAACATTAGTTATAAAATGGTTTTGGAGGTTTGCGAACCAAATGCCCATTTGGAGGGCATCCCACTCCGTTTATCAATGCCTACCTCATCTTATTCCACTCCCTCTATTTATTACCAATAACTTGACTAAGGGTCCGTTTGGTAACGTTATCATTTCTTGTTTTTTCTTTTTTACTAAAGAAAAACATAATTGTATTCGGTAACCATTCATTGTTATTATTATTATTTTTCTTTTAAAAAGTGAGGTAACCATTAAATTTTAAATTCAAATAGTAAAAATTTTAAATATTCAAAATTTTGTATGTTGTTATTACTTTTTAATATTTATTATGCATTTTATAAGTTAAGAATGATTAGACAATTTTTTTTTATTAATGTTATGTAAAAAATTGGGAACAGGAACCCAAAACAAAAAGCTTGATTTCGTTGTTTTCGAAATTTCTGTACCATTAAAAATGAGGAATAAGAAATAATAGTTGCCAAATGCTTAGGTTTCTCGACAAAATTGGAAACAAGAAACAAGAAACAGGAACGTTACCAACCAAGCTCTAATATACCCTTACTAACCTACTAATATTCCTAGTTCTATCCTAATAGCATTTCTATCCATGCCTTGAGGTGCTAAAAAGTGCATTCTCAACCTATTAATCCATGTGTTAGTTTTTTCCTTGATTCAGATGATCTGTGCAATTTTTTTAATGGTTTTCATGATTATTTTGGAATATCCATCAACAATATAGCCATGAAGCCGTTATTTTTGGCATTTATGTTGACATTAATAATTTTTTTGGTCTCATTTAGACATTGAATAATTCCGTTTCCTTGCAAATTATGCATTTTATTGGTTTAGAACAGAAATCTTTATCATCTCGAATTAATAGCAACCTTTATCATCTCGAATTAATAGCAACCTTTATCATCTCTTATTTTGCTTATTCAGGCAAACCAAAATCCATAACATTGGTGCAACACTTGTGGGTATTGATAAATTTGGTAATAAATATTACCAGAGGGTTGATGAACAGACTCAATATGGTATTTTTTTTTTCCGTATAATTATGTTTAGTATGAGTTTCATATAATTTATATACAGAGACATACCAATCATTGCTTAAGAAATATTAATCCGAATGATGTATAATTCATAGTCAACATATACAATAGTTGGTTAAGAAACTTACCATATTATCCTCATCTTTGTCTGGTAGATTAAGTTGCATATATGTTTTAAACAAATTATAATTAAGAATTTTTACTCTTCCTTTTAAAAACTTTTCCATCATATTTAATATTGTTAAAATAATACGCATGTCAATTCAAACAGATTGATTATATTTCTTGTTACAAAGTGATGCAGTAGTTCTACATTTCCTTGCATTGCTCGCTTTACTAGTTTCCCAATTCCTGCTAATGATATCTCGCTGTTAAGAAATTCTACAAAAGCTTACTGGAGCAAAATTTTTTTCCTTTGGAAGTAAATGAAAGGAACTCACATATGTAGGATGACGCATTTATATCTTGTTTACCAATTTCACACATTTTCTTGTTCCATGTTCACCAAAGAGTTTGTGAACATTATTTGAACTCTTAATAACTCTTAAATATTTTTGTAATTATTAGTTCTCTACCCTTTTCTTTTATGTTTGGGGAAATCTGAGCCAGTGAATCTGACATTTCTGTAGGAAGACACAGGTGGGTTGAATATGCAGAAAAGGGTCGATATAATGCTTCTCAGGTACCACCCGAATGGCATGGTTGGCTCCACCATGTAACTGATCACACAGGAGACGAGGTAAGTCCCCCTACCAAGGTTCCAATGATTTTGAAAGTTCCAATTTGATTCCTGTTTGGTTTTAATTTGGTCCCTGTGGTTCTAAAAGTTCTAATTTGATTCCATGGTTTGTTTAGACCTCTGAACTATAGTGATCCATTTTGAACTTTTAAAACCATGAGATCAAATTGAAACTAAGTCTAAACCATATGGATCAAATCGAATCTTCTATATGATGATGAAATTGAAAATCGGCCCAAGTCCTATGGGTCAAATCTGTAATTGACCAGAATAATAATAAATAATAATAATAATAAAAGGAAAAACGTTATCACCTTGGCATGTGGTGATTAATAAGAAAAATATTTTGCAGCTTCTGATGTTGAAACCTAGTAGATATGGAATAGAGCACAGGGAGAATTTCTCTGGGGAAGGTGACGAATTTATCTACCACTCCAAGGGACATGCCCTTAATCCTGGACAGAGAGATTGGACTCGATACCAGTCGTGGCAACCAACCAAGTCCAAGTAATTTGTCTTTCTCCCCTTCTCCTCCTTGGGATATTTGGTTGTCTTGTTTCTGAATAAGCCACTTGTTACCTACGCAACCTCTGAGTTCTTTTCAATATGTTCACTACATAACACACATGACGAGGAATTTTCTGCATCAGTTTCTGATTTTCAAATTTTAGCAAATTCATTGTTGCGGCCATCTCTGCCAATCTCTTTTCTTCAATGCAATTATTTGGTTGGTTGTCGGGAATATTATTAGAATATTAAGGGCATATTGGTAATTAGATTAGTATCTGTTTTGGGGAGTGTGGAGAGGATCAAGGTATAATAATACTACATTGGTTTAGTTAGTGTAGGTTCGAGAGTGCCTAGGAGAGGGAAGGTCTAAGTACGTTGATTTTTTTTTTTTTCGAGTCATCGTAGTTCTTTATCTTTTATATTTTAATATTATTTCAGTTCTTTTGTTTTTTTTTTCCTATCAAAATAGTACTAGAGTACAATTTTTGTTATGGAGTTGGGGGATGTAAAGAAGAATTTGCGTGAAGTGCAGGATTAATAAGCTTTTGCGCGTAGAGACTATTGACGAGATGCTAAAATGAGCTCGTTGTCGAAGATCTCCACGAGTACCCTAATAAGAAATCTCTATCTCAGAATGTCTAGGACCTCAAAACTTTGCTTAGTTCCACCATCACTAATTATCATATAAACACCCAATGAATTTAAAAGGAAAAAAAAATGAATTAAACACGTTTGTGTTTATGTTTGAGGACACTTGTTTGGATAATTATCTCATGAGAAAGCCGACAAGTCTTTAGAAGCCAATTGGAATCACTTTAATTAATGTTCCAAATATTGAATCATAACACTGTTCGACAAATGTAGTTGTTTGAAAGTATTAAAATTTAAAAAAACAAAAAAACAAAAAAAAGGTAGTTTGAAACTTCTGACTTTAACCACCTAGCTGAAGACGACCTATAAAGTTGCTACTTTTTCATATTTATTCTATTTTAATTCTTATATTTAGAAAAATAAGCAACTTTGCTATCTAAATTTCATAAAAATTACTTTGTCTTTGCCATTAAATTTCTGCAAATTTTATATATTTTAAATACTCAAACTGATTAAGGCATATCTCTTTTCAGAAGATTGCGAGTTCATCATACTCTATGTTATACTAAAAAAAAAAGTCTTAATAAAGGAATAAATTTTTATCAATTAGACTATTATGAATAATTATAGTTAAATTATAAACTTAATCCTTGAACTTTTAACATTGAACCATCACATTAAAAATGTCTAAATATGAAAAGATTGAATATAAAAAGCTTTGTTAATTTATTTCTAAAACTTAACTATAAAATTTATGGACAATTTCAAAGTTTTGGAATTTCAATAGTGTACAACATTTTTCACTTCTACCATTTAAGTTTGTTGATCTTATCTGATGATCCACCTTTGGCTTGCTGATCATTGTCGTGAGATCTTGATCTTTTTTTTTATTAGATGATTTTAATAAATATATATGTTTTATTGATATTTGGGTTTCGTAACCCGCTCTCTTCTACTTTTTTCTACAAAAAAAATGTGTTTTCTCCGCTTAGTGTCTTTCTTCCTTCTTTTTTTCTAAAGTGTTAAACGCATGTACCAATCCCTTATAAGATATTTTGAAATACTTTATAATTGAAAAAAATATACATCATAAATAATTTGTTACTATTTTTTTTTTCTAAATTTTGAGGTGTGGTTAGAATTATTTAATTTAGTACTTATAAAAAAAATTAATTATTCAATATAAATTAATAAATTTATTATTAATTTTAATATATGATCGCGTAAATTGGAAATATTTGTGGGGCACGTGATAAGAGACCAGTAATAGAATAAAAGTTAAGAGGGCTCGGGCTATATCCACACTGGACCTGGCTAAATCTGCCACTGTTTGTATTCATTTTTATAGAATTAATTTTAAATATTTTATATACTTACAATATATTAATTAATGAACGAGTCAAAGTCAATTCCAAGAAATATGTTTAAATTAATTGATTATATAATCCATAATAGTTAGTTATAGTTATTGAGAAATGAATTTTCATATTAATGAATTTAATTAAAAAGAAACTAAAAAAATAGCACAAAAGGAATATATATTTTTATATATAGCATTAGGTTTAAACAACAATGACATAAATTATAAACTTATACAATTACACTGAGTCCAACCAAAAATCACTTTTGTGTCATTTAAAAAAAATAATGATATTTTTATAAATACATATTTGCTTTTGTTACATGATTTAAACTATTATTTTTTCATCTCTTTTCAAAAAAAAAAAAAAAACTATTATTTCTTCATGATTGTGTTGTGACCATAATTAAAGGAATGTCATAAATGTGGCTAACACAAACTCCATTTAGTCTACTTAATAATGTTTTTTTAGTACATATAAGATTGAATCTTAGACCTGACAAAAATATCTACAAATTCTTGTTTAGCAATTTACGGATTCTCTGGGCTTGATTTTTTTTAATAGGTTTTAAATTTCACAGACACATAAATTTATCTGTTAAATGGTTTGCTAATGCTCAAGAAATATTAGTTTTTAATTTGTGGGAATTCACCATCAATAGGGAATAAACCAAGACAATTAGATTAAAGAAAACTAAAAGGGATTTGTAGGGTTTGTTAATGACAACGATATCTCTATAATAGTATGATATATTGTCCACTTTGAACATAATTCTCATAACTTTTTACTTTATTTTCACCAACCTCATACCAATTGAGATAATTTTCTTCATCTATATACCATGAATCATCCATTTCCCTGGTCAAACATTTATCATCTTGTAAGTTCAATTAGGGACAGAAATGCTTAACAACATATCATTTCTACTGATTCACCCAATAACCTTTTGGTTAGGATAGATATTTTAACCAATTGAGTTATGCTTAAGATGATAATAATTGTGTATCTTCTTAGTTCGTCTTCAGATTCAAATAATTATTAGAAAAATAAAAATTTTGAAGCATTCGCTCTAACTTATTCTTCACAAACATTTCGAATTAAAAAAAAATCATATATAAAGTAAGATAGAATTCAATGTGTATCAATATATTGACATGAAGATGAAGCCGTGACAATTAGTTGAGGCAACTATTGGGTAGTGGGAGTATTTGACAATAAAGTGACTAAAATGATTATCTTTTTTTGAACTTAAGAACTAAAGTAAATATTTCGAAAGTCTAGAGACAATAAAACAAACTATACAATTTAGCGATATTGTATCGTGGCTTCAAATATTATAGCATATTACATATCCATATTCAATCTCAACCATAAGGTCTAGAGCTCTATATGGAAAATCTTGACAATTGGTATCATAGAAACAAATGCAAAACATTTATTTTTCTAAGCACTCTTTGAAGCAAACTAATATAAATGCTTCATCGAGTGCCTCTTGTCTTTATCTGATTCAAGAATTTCTCAAACGATTATTAAGGAACTTCTAAAATTGTTTTTAATGGGCTAAAAGCACAATTATTCCTATTCTTTTGAAGGTTTCCGAGCTTATAAAATAAAAGTAATATTCTCAAACAAAATTCATTGAAGAAATATTCTGTTCTTGTACACCTTTGAATTTTCAATGACATCAAAGGGCCTCTGCTCAAACTTCATAATATTATAGCAACAATTATGATATATACAATCAATTTATATCGATTTTGTTCGAGAATATTTATTTTTCTATGGTTGTTTTGAACATTATTGTCAGAGTTGATTCACTCAAATGCCAGCCTTTGTGTGCCAACTAATGAAGCATACTGACCTTTCTGAGCCAGAAGTTCGAAATGAGTTCCCAGCTCAACAATTTTCCCATCACAACAATATGCAATTTGGTGAGCATTTTGGACCGTGCTCAACCGATGTGCGATCACCAATGTCGTCCTTCCCCTCATTAGATGGTTCAGAGCGTCCTGAACCAGTCGCTCACTGACTGCATCGAGTGCACTGGTCGCCTAAAGAAAAGATAAAACACTATTGTATCAGTCCAAGATCTCGATAAATTCCCAGATCGATAAACTACAAGACGCTGGTACCAAGTCATGAAGGAAAATACAAATTCCAACAACACTTGCCTCATCAAGTATAAGGATTGGAGCATTCTTGAGCAAGGCTCTCGCAATAGCAATTCTCTACAAATGATACAAGTTAAACGTCAGTCTATCCTCTCCCTCCCTCTCTCTCTCTTCTCACACGCTTCTTGAGACATCTTTGTTACCGTACCTGTCTCTGGCCACCACTTAGAAGGCCTCCACGTTCACCGACCGGCGTGTCATAGCCCTTCCAAGAACGAGACAGTCCATGTTAATAGCAAAATAGGGGCCAGCAGAAAAAAACATGGACTATCTAGAAAATAAAAAACAAACCTGAGGAAGTGTAACAATGAAATCATGGGCGTTTGCAGCTTTGGCTGCCTTTATCACCTCATCCTTTGTTACATTATCATCTGGAAGACCATATGCAATATTCTCCCCAACAGACACCGAAAAAAGAACGGGTTCCTGTATCGTCATCTTATTAGTTTTCATTGTTTCTTTTCCTCTTTCGTAAACAAGAAACAATTTTCATTAGCAATTTCCTAGATATCAGTCTCTACTAACAAAACAGAAAACCAAAAAACATAACACTTAAGCTTCTCAAATCTGCTGCAAATCTAAAAAGAACAAACAGTCTCATAAACATGGGTAAAAAAGCCTATAATGAATTTTGAAGCAGGATCTGCCTTATTCATTCAAGGTAAAAGAATAAACAGTCTAAAAAAAATGGGTAAGAAAGCCTCTACGTTTCAATCAAGAAAGCCAAACTGAAAACCAAAACATTTGGGAAAATCCTATAAAGAATTTGAAGCAGCATCTGCCTTATTCACTCAAGGTAAGTAGTATGGTTAGTGTTCAGAGTAGGTGTAGGCCAAGATATTACTTGATTCACAATCGAAACAGCTCGAGCCCATTCTCTCTTATCAAATGCTCGAATATCCTCGCTGGAAACTTTTATCTGACCTTGCTTTGGCTGTAAAATGTGCATATTATCATCCAATCCCTATAAAATATCAACATTTGTGGATATAGAAGGAAAAGCTTACCTCATAAAAACGTGACAATAGCTGTACTATTGTACTCTTTCCTGCTCCACTAGGACCAACTAAAGCCGTTATGGTCCCGCATTTAAGGGTTAAATTCAAACCATTAAGAACATTAATGTCCGGTCTCAAAGGATAAGAAAAGCTCACATCTGCATGATAAAAATAGACACAAATTGAGTTAGGAAGCTATACTAGACACACTCTCAATTTGTAATTCTTCCAAGTGTCTATACAAAAAATGTTTTATTTTAAAAAGTCATCCAAAACACACTTCATCTTATAGGATGACCTCCTGACCCCACCCCACAAAATTTGATTGTCATGGCGTTTTCAGAGAGAAGATATTGAGAACTGCAAGATATTTACCTTCGAGACAAATATCACCGGACCAAGCAAGATTGATAATATTGCTAGAAGATTTGAGGGCCGCCATGTACTGCGTTTTCACAAATCGACTACTTTCACCTGTATCATCACTAGAGAATAACAACTTATATTTTTCATTGGGGAATTCTTTTTGCTGCATCTCTTTTTCCAACCCATATGCAAGTGCTTCATCAACTTCTTCTTTTAAAACAGTATTAATTCTCTCAACAGCAGCAAAAGTTCGACGGAGATCTCCAAATGTATTTACTAATCCTTGAACCTGAATTAAAGTCATTAGATGTGTCAGTAATGAAATAATGAGATACTGAGAAAGGGTAACCAAAGAGAACCAGGACTCACAGCAAATGTTAGAGTAAAAGTATATCCAATAAAAGAAGCCATGGTTCCAACAGAAAGTTCGCCCTGCAAGGATATAATACGAATATTTAGGAAGGGGACAGTCAAGACACAAAATATTCTTTTTCCAAGAAGGAAACACAACTTTTATTGATGGAGAGAAAAGTTACAAATGAATGAAGTTTAAAAATTGGAATAAAAAAATGACATATTACCACAAAGTTCAACAATACAGAATATGGAGAACACAACCCTCTCTAGAAGAAACCACTCATTCATAGAAAAGGTTTTATTATTATTATTATTACTATTATTATTATTATTACTTTGCCAAAAAAAAAAATAATAATAATAATAAAAGGAAAAAATCAAAATAATAATTTATGACAAATTGTGTACAAACGAACTATGATTATGGTCTGTTATAACTTATAATTGCACCCACGGATTGTAAAACTTAAATCTTCAAACTTAATCATTTCTGGATTATAACTCGAACCCCCTTTTTTCTGGATCCATCTCACAGCATAAGTGTACAAATTGAACCCTTTCATTATCCTCCATTTTTTAATGTGAGACAGAAAGTCTCAATTTCTCTAAAAAAAACATCTCTTTAAAAAATCTATTTCTCTCTCTAAAAGAAAGTGTCGTTCTCTCCCTACCACAATCTTCTCCCTAAAAAGGTCTATCTTTCTCTCTCTGAATCGCTCCTTCATCTAAAGAAACAAGAAAACCCCAACATATCACTATACTCAATAAACATTTTAAATTGCTCATAAAAAGAAGTGAATGCAAAGTTTGGAAATTACCGCTCTCACTTTGTCTCCTCCAAGCCAATATAACATCATAAGAGAAACATAAACAGCGACTCTAGTTAAAGATTCATTCAGAGATTTAAAAGTCCCAAGTGATATGCCACTACGCTCATATGCAATAACCTGCCAAAATTTAAGAAAAAAAAAGGAAAAAAAAATATTATATTGCTCTAAGATTTATCTGAAGTTAGCTTTACAGTTCCCAATAATATCTTACCTGGTGACCAAAAGTGAACATTTGACGCTTTTCGCCACCAAAGGATCTCACCTGTAATAATGTCTCTGTATGTTAACAAGAGCATAACCAAAAAATTCTATAGGTCTGGTATATCAAATTTAATGATAATACATGCAACAGAGTATGTTGAACTCACAGTACGAATTGCAGAGAATGTCTCTGTTGCACAATCAGCCATGGATGCTTGAGCTAATCCATGAGCTTTAAACACAGGAATGGTTGAACGCTTGTACACAGCTTGAGAGAAACGAGAGTCAGCATTGAAAATAAAGAAACAGAAAACATGTAAATTGGTGTAGCTTATAGCTTTCGGTTATAATTGTATCTTGTCCTGCTTGTCGTTTATTTTTCCAGATACACTGGCTGTTAATTTGGTTACCTAAGTAGAAGATGTTTGTTAGTTACTTGTATTTAGGATAGGTTTTTCCTTTTACAGTTTATAGACATGTAGACACTTGCGTGTCTGGTCCAATTTTCGTGCACCTTAACTAATCTCACAGGACAACTACCTATCCTACTACATTTGATTACTAAGAAAAGGGGTAAGATATTAACCTTACGTAAGTAGCCACCATGGTTTGAATCCATTCCTTCCAAGCCCTTTACTATTTTCATTACCCGGCCACTAGGCCAACATAGGGGTGTAGCGACGTTCAGATTGGATTCAAGAGATAAAGAAGTTGTTCGTTAGTTACTTATATTTAAGATAGATTTTTCTTTTAATAGTCTGCGAGTGTACGGGCTAGTTTTCGTGCACCTTAACTAATCTTACAAGACAACTACCTATCTTACTACATTTGATTGCTAAAGGGAACTTGTAGGATATTAAATCTTAGGTAGGTGCCAATCATGACTTGAATTCATTCCTTCAAAGCTCTGTACTTTATTCATTGTCCAATGAGACCACTAGGCCAACCTAGGGGTGTAGACACATCCAGATTGGATTCATGAGATAAAGAAAGAACGTGACAGCAGGAAAAGAGAACACACTTTCTCCAATCTGGATGCCCCTTAAGAAAGAGGACTAAAACCACATGGAAAAGTAAACAAAGGGCAATGCAATTTTGCCATTGTTAGAGTATTGGAGAGTAATGCAATTTGAAGGAATATACAATCAAACTAGAGCGCCAGGCTTCAAAGACTAGCATATTCGTTTAGCATAAAAATGTGTTCCAAGGAAGAAGAAAGGAAGGGGAAGAGTTTTAATCTATATAAATGCTGTAAAGAAAAATAGCAAGGAACCTCTGAAAGAAGCTAGCTAAACCGATAAACTTACCGACTGAAAAAGAAACAGTAAGCATCAGCAGACCAAGAATAGGTGCGAGCTGGGGGGACAATGCAAATAATATACATATTGTTCCAATCACCTGTAGAAACAAGACATGAGAGGCACAAGATCCGACTATCATTAATGGATATCAAAATAAAAATAACAAACTATGAAACCTATGAAAAAGAAAGGCACAAGGTAAAGGTTCGTATATAGGAAATTATATTCGACCACATACTAACTTTATTCAGCAACTAGAAACCTTAGTCACATTTTTCAACAATGTAGTTATTCCATGGAAGGTAGAAAGTAAACAAAAGATGGGACACAAAATCCAACCACATTGAAATAATCAATGAGAAAACAAGTTCAGTGGAAAAAACATTATATTTCGATCAGCAACAGTGGTAAAAATCTATATGCTCAAATGCAGGCAACACAAAGCTCACTTGTACTTGGTGAAGAGTTGCTTGCCTCAGAAAACGCTCTGAATCCACGGTCCCTTGAAACATTCTCACTCACCACATCCTTAAGAGAGCCCAAGTCAGAAGTTAACAATCCAGTAATTTCACCAACCTTGAAAGGCAAAGTCCAAGTCAATTCAATTGAAATATCACATTAAGAAATTAACATTTCCAATAGAGATACGTAAATGAGATAATAAAATAGAACGAAGAATGAGAGAAAAGAAAAGAAAATAATTTCTAACCATCCTGGTACCATCGGATCTGGTTTCTTTTAAATGAATTGGTTCTTGCAATACCTTCCTCTATTTGTCACTCCATTTGGAAGACTCAATTTCCCAAGAAAATTAGTGTTTATTTTGCCACTATTTAAGGCACTTTGAACACGAATGACAAGATCCAAGCTAGAAATTCTTAATGGTCTTTTCCCCGTAATTGGTGCAGTCTCTACAAGAACAATGGAGAACATCTTTTCCTTTGTTGTTTTTTACTGCCAAAATTTGGCATAAGCTATAAGGCATCGTCTGAAAGTTTATTTCCCAAGGATGGTGAGTGTCTTTCTATTGATCAAGTTCAATCACCAATCATCCTTTGTATTTTGTAAACCAAAAATTTTAAGGTTATATGTAGTTATGGCGGCCTTGTGAATTATCTGGTTGAAAAAGAAACGGAAGCAACTTCTCAAAGGTTGAGAAAGTTCTGCATGATGTTTGAGATAATGATGTTTTTATGGCATCGTAATGCTACACCATGAGTTTAGTAACCATTTACCTCTACAATTGGAGCCAACTGGGGAGTCTTTTAATAACAGACGAGCCTTGCCACTTTTGTTATTCACTCAATGATGCCATCTACGCGGTTTAGTCTAAGGCATGGCTCAACACCTAAGGACTCCATCTACATGTTAAGTAAGGATATGGCTCTGGTACCACTTGTTAGGATAATATACTTCTCCCAATTTCCACAATGATTTGACACCTAAGGAGTTATTAGAAACATCTCATACCAATAGAGATGTTATTATTTACCTATCCAAAATATTCTCAATTTTCAACCAATGTAGGACTATGGATGATCACATCCCTAACAAAGGGGTCGGGGGCGGGGGCCAAAGAAGAACAAGATCTATGTGAGAGGAGGATATGGGGGAAAGAGGACCCAATTGGGATTAGGACAATTAATATGATTCTTTGGTTATAGCAACTGTCCACTAAACCTGATTATACACATTGAAACCAGTATGACAACTTGTTATGAAGGTGCCTAAAATAGACAGTTCTTTTTTCTTTTTCTTTTTTACTGCAGTAGATTAGGAATAAGTGGTTCAATATACATACCTTGTATCTGTCAAAAAACTCCACCTGAAAAGGAAAAGAGAGAATACAAATCAGAAGGCCAACATTTTACATAATTACTTGGATTGGAAAAGCTGCAAAATAATGACAAAATAATGTTTATGACACTGCAAGACTGTAAAATCCACAAAGGAAAGGGATTTTACCTTCTGAATTAGCAACCTTCCAAAAATTTGGGCTCTTAATCTTGCCATAACCTTCTCCCATATGAAATTCATGTTTGTCACGAATAAAACCGTCAATATTGGCTCCAATGCATACAAAATTCCAACCGTACTCAGCAGCCTCCACAAAGACCCAGATTTTGCACCTATAAGTACCTCAAAAAATCTTCCTACAAAACCAACCCATGAAACTTTCAGCATTGAAATTAGAACTATGTAATTGAAGCACTCATACCACTTAGAACCTTATGTGAATTTCATCATCCTCTTCTTTTCCTTCTTTCTTTTTTTTTCTTTTTTCTTTTTTCCTTTTTTCATTTTTCGAAAAAAGTTCAATTTTTAACCTGTGCTAGGTGGGTGAGTAAATTATTAACCTAAAACTTTCAACTCCATCAATGGAATAAATTCTACAATTAATATCCTCAATAGTTTTTTTTTTCTTTTATGACAAAAAAAAAAAAAGACAACCAAAGCCCATAGGGACGAGAGGTCCCTAAGCCTAAAAAGGAGGCAAATAAAAGTCTTCCAATTTCTGACATGAGACTATTTCTGTGTTATGTTCTTATGGTTGACTCTTTTAATTGTTAATTACTTATAATTAGTTGGATTTCAACATTTTATTGCTAAATTCAATCGTTTAACACACATACTTGATTTCGTGGCAATACTCCAAGTCTATTCAAGATTGGGTTTGGACATCTCTTTGCCACGATTATCGGTGCTTTGTTAGTTAAATTTTGTACAGCATATAAGTTGATTTATGGGTAAATTTCAAATTTAGCTTTCCAGATACATTAATTGCAATCCGGAGAGGGTACAATTGGTGCCTACCAGAGGGAAAAAAAGTTCAAAAATGGTGCCTACCAGAGAAGAAGGGCATGGAGAGGGTACAAGTGGTGCAGCTGATAAGAGTGAGAAAAGAAGCCACAATCCGGAGGTTGTCCTTCCTCAAAAGCCGCCATAGAAGCCCCCAATTCAAAACGCGAAGTACCCGAACCTGGGAATCCGAATCCGAATCCGAAGCGCCGTCGAGCTTTGGGTCGGGGTCGGTGGCAATGGGGTCGGAGGCAGGCCCGGTAACATAGGCGAAAGTAGCATTGGAATTGGAATTGGCACTGCTGAAGCTTATTGCTGGCTTCTTAAATCCATGAATGGAGGAGACAGAAAGCAGAGGAGACGGCGGCCAGAGAGCGGAATTGGGGCTGCGATTGCGGTGGCGCGTGGGCTTAAGAGTGAAAGGGAGAGAGAGAATGGCAGTAGACATTGAAGAAAGCTGGAGAATTACGAGAGACAACAACACAAAGAAAGAGAGAGCTTACAAGGGATAATAGGCCTAAGGCCTACTAGTGCGGAATCATGCTTCTTTTCTTTTTCTTAGAATATTAGACGAGTCGCATGATGCTCAATTTTCACGACATTTTCGTATATTTATAGGTTTGACATACGTTCATATTACTTCTCTAGTCTTCCGATTAGCGTGAAAAATGTTGATTTTAAATTTCATCATTTAAAATCCAATAAATTATTTTAAATTTTTATCTTAGGACGAGAATGATTTGATTTCAAATCAATTTTACTAATTTGGATTTTTTCGAAGTATAATGCATGATGTGGTGGGAGATCGAACTCACAACCTCTTGGTTGTAATATATGTCAATTATCGTTAGTTATGCTTACTTCGACGATTTATGGATTGAGTTTAATTACACGAACCAACATTTTCCATAATATGAAGGTTAACTATTTAAACAAAACATCTAAGCATGTGAATATAAAGAATGGACTAATTTAGCCATTTTAATATAAAACATTTTTTATATATATTGAATGCTTCATACAACTTAAAAGAGGTATTTTCTTATGTAAAATAAATAAATAATTAAAAAATAAACTTGAAAGGAGGAAAGTAATTTTGATTCCCTATCAAATCAAAATTTCACGGGAGGTAATGTTTTGTCTAATGGACAAAATTATTCCTTTAGAAATTTTAATCAACAATAGCACAAAGCTTCATACAATTATTATAAATTTAATTTCTACACTTCATTTTAAAAAAACAAATCTATCATATTTCTCAAAAAAAAAAAATCTATCATATTCATTGAATCTATTTGATTTAGTGAGATAGAATGTTACCACAACATATTTTTATATATTTATAGGTTCGATATAAGGATGAATTGACATTTTTATCATTAATAAAAAATTGACGAAATATAAAAAAAAATTCAAATAAAATAACATTAATATTAATATTTTTTAACTCACTTAAAAATAGTAAAATGCTTATTTATTAATTTGAATATTTGATGTGAATTTTTTTATTTTTTTATTTTTCAAAAAATATCTATCTATATTTTCATAAATTGAGACTTTGATTGTTTCCATCAACATCAACATTTTCGACTTTATAAATTTTTAGTAATTATATTCTCATTCTAATTACAAACAGTTTTAGCCAAAAAAAACATCAATATTTCAAATTTCGATACCATAAAATTCTAGTAAATGGTATAACATATTCATTCCGATTGATTTTCCATTCCTTTATTTGTATGGTTGTGGGAAGAAAGTTAGGCAGAATACAGAAAATGCATGAGAAATGCTCTGCACAGTAGTTGGGCAAAGGCCCTTTCATTAAATAGAAAAAAAGAGTACATATGGAGTCAGTACATTGGGAAAAAAATAAAACCAGCTAAAGCAAGAGAATAAGGGTGAAATTGGTATTTAGAAAGAACAAACCTGACAGGGAGTTGTTTGCTGGCAACTCGTTGAATAGAATGATGGTCAATTTCGATATGTTTTGTATGATGCATCATCAGATTTGCCATCGTATGTTGGACTCATATTATCACACAGAAGTAACAGATGAGGAAGTAGATGAATACTTATCTCCCGAAGAACTAATTGAATCCAATATGAGATCTGTCATGGCATTGGACGATCCCCTATATTCGGACTCTACACTTATTGAGAAAACTTTTTGTTAGAGTATTAGTATATGTAGAACACATATTAATACAATTATTATTGGACTATTTGATGGGCCAACTAAAGTGATATGTAAATAATATTGAGTATGAATTTTATTTAGGTGATACCCATTTATTCTTATTGACTTAACAAGGATCGAGGAAGAGTCTATAAATAGAATACAAGGGTTATGAAGAATAAAACCAGCTCATGAAGGTTCTATTTAGTTGCTGCCATACATTGTATTGTTGGCTTACTTGTGTAGAGTTGCCATTGATGAATTGTGTCGGGCACGGTACGGTACCATCTATGAAGTTTTTTTTAATACAACAAGTGAGAGTTAGGAGAGTTAAACTCATAATCTATTGATCATAGACATGTGTCAATTACCGTTGAGCTAAACTCATGTTGATGGTACCATTGATGAAGTTATTCATTCCATAGGCAATAATGACATTCAACAATTTGGTTCTTAAGGCAGTTGGTTTCGTTGATGGAAAAAGGTTGGACAAGGGGAGGAAATATACATGTGGTAGTATTTTGGGTTGTGAATAGTACTTGGGGATTGAAAGTGTTTTTGGGAGCGATTTTGGCATGACCAAAATCATTTTTGCCATTATCAAAATCACTTTCATTTTTTATTGATAATGTTCGGCAAATTAAAAAATTGATTTTAGGAAAGTTTAAAATCACTCTAAATTGATTTTTAAGGTATCATTTTGATGATGATTTTGAAAAATCAATTATACATTAATTTATTTTTATCAAAATCACTAATTTTACCATCACTTCCAAATACACCGTAAGAATTTAAGGAAATTGACTAATCACGGCCAACCGCCTGAACCTACCAATTCCCTCTAAGCTCTTTACTATTTACAATTGTCCTTATTGACTACTAGACCATCCCATGATGATTGAGTCGAGAGATATTTGAGGTAGAGTAATTTGAGGACTTGAAATATTTGGAGCTGGTTGTCGTGAGTTACTCACACAACGTCGTGGGAGTAATGACTATAGGTAACGGAATCACTAGTTGTTATGAGCTACTTTAATGGAGTTTCCGAGTTATTTTCATAACTGAGTTGTTTTTCTTTTCAAGTTTGTAGTTCGATCATTTTGTTTGTATTTTTGGTTTGTTCTTGGTTTTATACGGTTATTTTTCTGGTTCGGTTTTCTTCCTGTTGTACCTTTTTGCCATATACCTTAATTTTGCAAAAAAAGAAAAAAAATGTTAATGTGCCTTAAAAACAAAAAAGTAAATATATATGTGTCTAAAAAAAGTAAATATATATATATATATATATATATATATATATTAAAAGGAAAAAAAAAGAAAGGAGAAAAATGCCCACTAGGCTAGGATTTGGGGTATCATCTCTTAAATAATTATTTTTTAAAAACAAATGACAAAATTAGGGTAGGTTTCAAAGTAATTACATAAATAGGGTAGATAAATCGCAGGGGTGGCCTGCGATTTGACTAAAGTCGAAGCCGTTGTCCGCGATTTCGCTAAAGTCGCAACCATTAACTGCGACTTCTCCCTGATGTGGTTCCAGTGGAACCACGACTTTACTGTCTGGTCTTTTGTTCTTTTTTTTTTTTGTTTTTTTTAATTTTGAGTTTGGAAGTTTCCCTTTGTTTTTTCAAGAATTTGGAAGTGCAGCCACTTCTTTTGGAATTTTATTTTATTTTTATTTTTTATTTTTAAATTTGGAAGTTCCCTTTTTGTTTTCCCTCTTTTATTATCTTTTATTATATTGAATTTTGAAGTCAGACACTTCCTTTGTTCTTCTTCTTTTTTTTTTAATTTAGAAGTGGCAGTCCGACTTCCCATCAATATTTCTTTTTATTTGTTTTAAATTTTATTTTAAAAAATCACAATTTAAGAAAAAGACTAAATTGTATAATATGAATTTTCTCTATATTCATCTATGAATTACCTATAACATGATGACATCTTATGCAATAATTTAAAATAAAATAATTATAAAACAAACAAAACCCTAAATTCATATAGTTTATACCTTGACTTTTATGTTTTTATTAATTTAATATTTTTTATCGATTTAGTTTATATTAAATTTAAATGTTATTTTATAGAACATACGAACATGAAGCACAAGAAGCTAAATCACATTTTAATAATCGAATTGGTTTTGATCTAATTTTAAACTTTCAGAATTTAACATTTTAATCAAAATTTAAAATATAATAACAAAATAATAAAAAATTTAATCACATCTTAATTAAATTTCGCAATATTAATAAAATAACAATATATAAATTAAAATATAAATAAAATAATTCTTTCAAAAATAAAAAAATAAAAAAATAAAAAGGTGAAAGTTGCGTACAATGTAGGCGACTTCCGCCTAGTCACCTACCACGTCAAATATACACGTTTGCACGAAAATCACAGACATTGTACGCGAGTTTTGACTTTTATTTTGACCTAACCTATTTTTGTCAATAGTTTTGAAAACGATATAGATTCTATTTATTTAAATTACATTTATTTTGTAGTTATTTTTAAACTAACATTATTATTTTTCTAATTTATTTTTAGAACTACGTTGTTTTAAAACTTTGTCCATCTACAGTTTCCAGTCCCAATTCCCAAAATACACGATTCTATTTTGCTCTATCAAGTAGCAGTTCTCCAGCTCCTCACTCCCGAGATTGAATTCTACTAGGTATTAATTTTTCCCTCTTTCTCTTCCGTTTTCCTTTCGTATTTGATTGATTTTCTTCCGATTATTCAATTCTACTGCGACGGAAACATTTATCAAGCTGACAAACTTTTCAAGGAAATCGATTTCTAGTTTCCTCATCTCAATTTTGCTTAATTGCTCCCTGTTTGGCTGCCGAGAGAAATGAGAAATAGAAGTGATTCAAAGTCAACCTAAAAATTTATCCCAATTTCTTACTACTCTTGTTTTCTTTTAGTCGTTCTCTATCGTATGTGATTAAGATTTTGACCTTTTATATGTTTGTTCGGTGGGTGTTTTCAGTGTAACACATAGCGGTGAGGATTAACAATTTCTATCTTTTTGTTCAGAAATTGAAAATTGAAATTTTTAATTTTAAATACAAAGATGAAGTTATAAATCCTTAGGGCTTCCTTTATCTCTTCATTTGGGCATTTTTGGGGCTTATTATTGTTTTTCCCCGTAACGAAGCAAAGAGAGATACCTTTTGAAGGTTTTGTGAGGGGAAGTTTTCCTAGTAACTCGCAGCTAAAGCTTAGTTGAAAAGTAGATATTGTTGAATCTATATGTTCGCTGCTAATTGTCATCGTTCAACATCAAATGAGATTTCCCGTCCTCTGTTTTTGTGTTCAAATCCTCCTTTAATGATAAACCCGAGTCAGGTTTCTTGCACCATTTAATAATAAACTCGAGTCTTTGTGTTCTATGTAAAAGTGACTCTTATTTGATCGGTTTCTGATATCTTAAGCAAAATATTCTTCAGTGATCTCAGGTTCTCAACATTTTATTCGGCCCACATAGAAAGTGAAACTTTAATGGCACGGTCTGTAAGTTTACTCTCTACTGGCCTCCTAAGTTGTGGCTTTTGTCCCAAAATGGATGCTTCATATTTGAGTTATGACATGATAAAACCACGACCATCCCCTCGTAGTCTTCGTATCAAAGCTGTGCAAGATGATGGAGGTCCTCGTAGTCGTAGGTTAGTTGATATCATTAGACTTGTGCCCGAGCTCTCGAGAAATTACTTTCGAAGCCCCTCGAGGAGGGCTCTGTTTGGAGGGATCTCATTATTGGGTGGGTTTTATGTAGCACAGACTATATCATTGTCATTTGGAGCTTTAGGAGTAAATGATGTGATTGCTGCTGTGGTATGTGTTCTCCTTACAGAGTACGTTACCCGGTTTTATTATAGTCGACCGAAAGTAACTTTCCCCATAGCTCTACTCAACAACTTCAAAATGGGTTTCACTTATGGTCTCTTTATTGATGCTTTCAAACTTGCTAGTTGAACTGCATTTGTAATGTTCTATCCTTCAGTTTTCATTACTAGTTTTGGCCCCATATCTTGAAAGTTTGTTCTTTATTGTTCTTGATTAACTAACTTCCCTTCTTCATTTGCTCTTCTGTATATGTTATTTTACATCTTACACTGTAGAATTAGTTCTGGACCTATTCATACTCAAATGCAATTCTGCAACACATTTGAATGTAATTGGCAACTTTTTTCATCTATAATATACCATTGAAATGCACTCTCCATCAGTGGAGAATTGCTTGATTCAACTGTTTATTGCCTGCTTCATGGCCTCCCACTCCCTTTATTATTAATAAATTATTAGTAACAAAGTTCCCTAACTAATGAATATTATACCCTTTACTAATGTTATGATATTTCTAACTTTTTTACCTTGATGGTAATCCCAACAGTTTTGTGTCTGGAAAATGTTCTACAAAAGCAGAATAAAAATTGGGTGCTGGCCATGAACAAAAGGTAAGTTATGAAATTTAGCAATAGCTTCATTTTGACTGTTTGAGATTTTAAATGTCAATGATGATGGAAATGTGATAGAATTCAAAGGAAATAGAATGAAGGTAATATGATAGAAGCATTGCAATAATCCCTAATCCCCAAGTCATTCAAAGTATTTGGACCCAACTTTTTGAGATCACTTGAGCTTAAACCACACTAAACAATCGCCTACCTGCACCCTTTTCCCCTCTGTTTATAAAAATTACAAACAACTTCCCTATCTAATTACCAATATATCCTTAATATCTTAAAAATATTCCTAATTCTGTCATAATAGCATTATGATACGCGATAACTCAAGCGTGTGGACAAAAAATGTCTCTAGCCACTTGAACCCAATCGTACAGTTGGTTCAATTCGAATGGAAAAAGTTACACGGATTACCTTGCAATCAAATACCACGAGATTACGCCTTATACTCAAGGCCGAAACACTCCATAAATTTGGTGACCAACCAAGCTTGAATATTTCTCAACAATACATCTGAAGTTTTACCACACAAAGAAATATACCAAGGGGTTTGTACTTAAGAGAAATCTCTCAATTCTATTTGAATTTCAATAATACATCTGAAGTTTTACCACACAAAGAAATATACCAAGGGGTAGGGGTTTGTACTTAAGAGAAACCTCTCAATGCTATTTGAATTTACTAAAACAAATCTGTCTTCAAGACTAAAGGGGGCCTACTTAGACTAAGGCCATCGGCCACACAAGGAATTTTGCAAATTAAAAGTAAGAGGGAAATAAAAGAATGCAAAAATTCTTCCCTAATTCGAAAATGATGCTTGTCTAAAATGCTTAAAAGAAAATAATTCTCTTAACAAAATTACAAGAATAAATCTAAAGCAAATAATCTATGACGAAGTAAAATGTCTTCAATCAAATAAGGAAAATTAATTCTTCAAATGACAAGAATGGGCGGCAAGCAACCGACGTCAGCAAAGGGGCTGGATGCGCGAGGTTTGATGGTGCACGATGTGGGCACTCATAGGGCATGTGTGGTGCTGGGCTTATAGACAAGGCAAGGGTGCGCGTGGGGGTGTGAGCAAACAGTAGGGTAGGCGGGCGAAGAGGGGCTGGCAGGTGTGGGCGTGTGGGCAAGGCAAGTAGGGCGTGCAGGCGGCATGCAAGTGTGCGGACAAGAGGGGAGGGGAGTGCCCCTATAAAACCCCCCCTCCTATTCTTGTTCAGGCAGTGTGGGTATCGCCTATCGGGCCTATGGATTGGGCCCTTTTCTATGGGCCCAACTTTTAGTTAAATTTTTTTTTAACGATATTCATAAATATCATCAAGATGCCTATATTTTCGCGACATTTTGACGATATTTTAATATATCGTCGACAGGGGGAAAAACGATTTTCTCCAATGTGTCAATGTTGAACCCGTCTACATGTCGACGTGTCGACCGACATTTAGAATACTGGTCCACACTAATTACATTTTGTGATATATATTTTCTTATATTTTGTCAAATTTTTTTTGCAATATATGAAAATATGTAAATATCAAAACCATCATGGGTTGTCTCAGTGGTAAAAAATGGTCAATGGAAGTTCTAAAAGGCTTAGAGGGAATAAGTTCAAACTATGTTGGCCACTTTTCTAGGATTTAATATTCTATGAGTTCCTTGGCAATCAAATGTAGTAAGGCCAGACAGTTATCTCGTGATTAGTCAATGGTGATTCATTTTTAATGGCAGTGTTGAACAAGTGGTCATGAAAGTATCAAAAGAATTGTTTATGAATAATGTGACACTTAGGCTCTAACCATAGGGCCATAGGAACCTTCACAAATGTTCATTCTGTGCATTGGATCAAAAGAATTTGACTAAAATGAATTATTTATCAGCACTCAACATAATCTAAGTGCTAACACAAAAAAAAAAGTTGTCAAAATTATTTTTCTATCAGATAGTATTTTGGAAAAATTAAAGGAAAAAATAAAGGTTTTTGCTGCATCTTTTAGATATGGTTTCTCTCTTTGATCATTATGTTTTGTTTCAGGTAAATCACCTCAGAGATAACAAGTCAATGAATATTATTTGTCATGAATTGGATTGTGTAGATTTAACCAGGAGTAGGACAACATTACTCAATGAAACACCTTTTTTCTTTATTTTAGATTTTATATGGACTTAATGAATATACGCTCGTATTATAAAAGATATTTGAAATAGATGTCCATAACTTTTTTATACTACATATTCCTTCCCTTTTTTTTTTTGGATAAAAAGAACTTCATTAAAAGGAAGCTAAATGTGAGACATGTGGGCTCCTGTTTGAGATACATCAAGCTCCACCCTTTGCACTAGCTGAAGGGGGAAATTTTCTAACTAGAGAATAGAAGAAGACCTACGAACTGCATTTCTGGCAAGCAAATGCGTCAAAGCATTAGAAATTCTCTGGTGATACACAGAATTTATCGATTCAAAATGTGCAGCAATTTGTTGGATGTCCAGGAACCAGGTTTTCGCTTCATTTTGCCAAACCGTTGTGCCATTGATGGCCCAAATTGCTTCCGGAGAGTTTGATTCAACAACAATCCACGACACTTGCAAATGTTTGACCAGTCGCACACCCTCTCGAATTGCAAGGACTTCTGATAGAAGAGGGGAGAGCTGTTCATGGGTAGACATCATAGTCGCCACAATTCTGTTTCTGCTGTCGTAGAGGATGACCCCATACTCGATTGCTGAGAATGAGAATTGCAAACTGCTTCAGTATTCACTTTGATGACTCCCTGATTTGGAAGCTGCCAATGTGGACAGTGAGGTAACGATTGCTGAATATACTACTTTCTTCCCCTCTCAATTTCGGTCTTTGGAAGTTAAAATTCATTAGTGTATGCTAGATTCCATTTACATTTACCCTCCACACACTGAACCATTTTTCTATTGCATACCTCATTTTTGTCATTCCAGGCCGCCCAACAAATTATACTGGCCATCGTGATCTCAATCGAGTCAGAGAAGTCATGAAATACCCCAGCGATCAATGAAACTATTACTAACATCTGTGCCAATATCTGCCGGGAGCAGGAGCTTTTGCTAGATCTGTTTAGCTCGCTTGCATCTTAGCAGCATATTCGATTTTGCCTTCTTCAAGCAAAAGGGCACAAAGGTACCACCTCCATCTCCTTTTTATGAAGATTTTGCATGACTGGAAGAGCATTTTGAATAGCTGACCACACAAATAATTTTATTTTTGCTGGCATGTTTATCCCCCAAAATCTTTTCCATCAACTGATGTTCATTTACTGAAGTATCAACAAGCTTTTCACGCATTTGTAACTTGCACTCACTTTTAAATGTATATAAACCATGCTTATCAAAATGCCATGTCCATCTATCTGCTCCATTGGTCTGACTAATTGGAATTTGAACAATCGCTTGTACTGCTTCATTAAATTCTTCTCGAAGTTAGGAACATTCCAGACATTTGTAAACTTGTGTCATACGAATACTCCCAAACCAAATTCCCTCCATTTTCACTTCCTTTTTCTTCTTCCTCGGTCTCTCTTTCTCTATCTCTTCAACTTCTGTTGACATTCCTTTTTCTTCTTCCTCGGTCTCTCTTTCTCTATCTCTTCAACTTCTGTTGACATTTTCGATTAACATGGGACTTTGACTTTTTTGCTTGATTCTTTGTCTCCGATTTCTGCTGCAGCTAGGGCTTCAAATTTATCTTTCGATTTTTGTCTTCCTCGCTCTCCACAGTGTGTATCTTCCGATTGATTTTTCGTTTTCGATTTTTCGTTCCTACTTAATTCATTTGCATGCTCTTCCATTATCATTGATTTCTTTTGAGAGGTGTTGGTTCTGGTTTGGTTTGAGTGCTTATGATTTCGATGTATTGTTTACTTTTGTTGTCATGGCCACCAATTATCTAGATTTCTTCTGAATTTGAATGACCGTTGGTTATATGCTATAATTCATTTAAGAGTTCGTTATGGGTTCGATTCATGGTGGTCTCTTGGTTTCATTAACGGTGTGTTGTGAGTTGAGTCGGAGGTGTTCATCGTGTGACGGTGATGGACAGTTCGTATAGCCAAACTAAATTGAGAGCGAGAATGGTTGTTCAGGGTTTTTGATTGAGGGTTACGAAAGAGGTTCACTGCGAGCGAGAGAGATGTATCATTGAGAGCGAGAGAGGTGTATCACCGAGAGTGTGACAGTATACAGAATTGAAGTTCTTTACAGTTTAGTTGAGTATCAAAAATTTTTCTTTTGTGAGCCTCATTCAAACTATGTTTAATCGGCAGGATCATAATGGAACACACTCTAAAGGTCAGTGAAGCAGATCGCTTTCCGGCCCAAGTCACAAGCTTGTCCCACCTCAGCACTACGAACAAGATTATCAATCAGAAGCTTACTCCAACACAACTTGACATGTTCAGGAAAAGAACAATATTTGGTCGTTTCGTGGACCTCGATATGATGTTTTGCAGTGCTTTGGTGCATTACTTCTTGCTGAGGGAAGTCGTGGACACGAGGCCAGATGTGATGAGATTTGATATCTTAGGAACCATTGTGACATTCTCAAAGGCTGAATTCCTACTTATGACGGGTTTATGGCGGTCATCTGGTAGGGTCCTTCAAAAGAAGGTGTCCAAAAATCGCCTCCGAAGAGAGTACTTCAAAGATGTTGTTGACCTCCGGCTCGAAGAATTTGAACAGGAATATAAGAAGATTGTTTTTGCGAATGATGACGATGCTGTGAAGGTGTCATTAATCTACTACACTGAAATTGTAATGATGGGTAAGAACAAGGGGAAATCCAATGTAGACAAAGATTTGTATGGTCAAGTCGAGGATTTGGACTACTTCAACAACATGGACTGGGGAACCACTATCTGGCAAAGAACACTAAAAGGCCTCCAGAGTGCAATGAAAGACAAAGTTGTTAACTACAAGAATAAGGTCACTACAAATAAGAAATTTCAAGTTAGGTATAGTCTCACGGGATTTCCTGTTGCATTCCAGGTAACTAATATAATCTTACAATTACTCTCGATGACTTTGCTTGAATTGTATACAGCCGACAACTAATATACATGTTTATTTGTAGGTTTGGGCATACGAGATCATACCATCTCTTATGAGGAATGGTGTGAATAGGCTGAGCGATACAGCTATGCCACGCATCTTTAGGTATTCATGTTCCCAATCAATCACAAGCAAAGTGCTAGAGCGTGATGTGTTCAATTCATCTGAGGTAAGGAAAATAAGAAAACATAGCTCAAGTTCATTTTATTAATCAATTATAATGCATGCATTTTACTTTAGATGTTGGTAAAATGTATTTGGTTTTTTTTTTTTGTTTGCCAGCTGACGATTACTCATCCACTCGTGGAGTCTGAGGCAGAACGGTTGTATCGGGAGGCTCCATTCGATGGAAGAGCTGCAATGGAGGAGAATACAACAGGGGGTAGAATCTCAGATCATGACGATCGGCAGGCTTCTCCCGAGCGGCTCGATCATGATGGATTTGATGAGGATGCCAAGTTCGACCAACCTATCGGAACCCCACATGGATATAGATGTCGATCGGCCAGTGGAGGAAGACACATTGGAGATGTTGCCAATAGCATCAACATCCGAACAGATTAAAGAGACAATTAATCAGGTGCCACGTTCAGTGACGGCTCCTACCCTATCACAGCCCACGACTAATAATCGAAACCCCCTAGAAAGAGTTTCACCTCCAATAACATCGTCAGTAGTAGGCAATGTTGAATGCGTGGTTGGAGACGAGGAGGATGCACAAAGCCATTCATTGAATAAGCATTTGCAGTGCATTGAGAAAAGCTTGAATAGCTTGACGTCCGAGTTCAGGGACATGAAGTCCGAGTTCAGGGACATGAAGTCAGAGTTCAGGGACATGAAGTCAGAGTTCAGGGACATGAAGTCAGAGTTCAGGGACATGAAGTCAGATTTCGAGGACGTGAAATCCATGCTACAGTTTTTGTGCAAGGTAACATATTGAATGCTATCCGTATTTCATGACCTTGTTAGCATCCTAATGTAAAATGGTATTCGTTGCGTAGGGTAGGAACACAGATGATGACAACTCGGTAGATCCACATAGCGACGTTGGGGTACCCTTTGCATCGACGACTGATGACACTCCAAACAATGATGCTGTTGGAGATGACCATGCAGGAGAATGTGCAACTGGAGATGACACTTTTGACACTCGACTTATTATAGACGACACTACAGATAATGACCCAATGCCCTCTCCTCTAACCACACTAAGCATCGTGCCCTATGTTGATCCTATCCATTTCTTGTGTTGTCGTGGTAAGATCCCTTACATTCCTTTTGACCCTTCTCCCCACACCCATCTCGACCATACCACATCCGACCCGATCACTGACCCCGTCAAGTCCTCCACATCCAGGAAAGGTGTACCAGATGATACCACATGTCATCCTGTGATTGTACCCGATCATTCGACCTCGTTGAAACAAGCCGAACCACCACACACCACACCTGCTAACCTGACTGAGAGCAACCACCTTTCACACGTTCTCATTACCCCTCCAGTAGTGACCTCCCCGCCCTCTATAAACGGCCGTGTCCATCCACATGATACCACGAAAGATTCCATTGTCGAAACTATCGAATCAACCCCACCTAATCAAACCCAATGGTCCACCCAGAGTCTCACTAACCCACTCGTACATACCAAATCCGCCCCACCTAAACGATCCCAACCCTCTAGCCAAACCTCGCAGACTCACCATACAACTACAGATGACAGCAAGGTCGAGGTAACGTATTATTAAACCCGTTTGACCAATTTATACATTTTGCAATTGTTGACTACATGTTTGATCCGTTGCTTCATTGTACAGACACCAAAAGTTGATGCATTTCGCAAGGGAAGTCGAAAAAGAAAGGAAAAGCAACCCTGGACTCCCACTGTGTCTAAGGACCATAAATCACAGCAGGTGGAGGTTGAGTTGGATGATGAGAAAAAAAGGCATTGCAAGGTCAGACAGCTGTTATACTCCACCCAAAGTAGGTTACGTATGAACGAGGGACGATATGTGTACCTGGAAAGAATTGCGAATGAAGAGCATGAACGGGTAAACTGCCTGGAGGAAGAGAAAAATGAACTGTAGGATAGAGCAACAGCGTTGGAGACTCTTTGCGGGCATTGGGGGCATTGTGGCCGTAGGTAAAATAAGATTTTACTAGTTTTCTATATTTTTTTTCCAGTTAAAAATTTGTAGGCAATGTAGTGTGGTGTTTTCACTTATGTATTTGATTCTTCAAATTAATTATAGGTAGTAATTCACTCGCTCTCTCGGTAATACTTCACCCTACTCACGCTCTCGGTATTAGTTTACTCGTTCTCAGTATTATTTATTCAACTCTAGGTATTAATTTACTCCTGCTCTGGTATTATTTATTAGTGCTCTAGTTATTACTTAACTCACGTTGTAGGTATTAATTTAATCCTGCCGTAGGTATTAATTTAGTCCTACTCTCGATATTACTCGGTATTACTTTACTCGCATTCTTGGTATCACTTTACTCTCGCTCTAGATATTAATTTGCTCCTGCTTTAGGTATTAATTTAGTCTCTCTCTCGATATTATTTCACTCCGCTCTCGGTATTACTTTACTCTCACTCTCGCTCTTGGCAACACAGTTACATTTATAGGCTCCGTTCCGTTCTCCTTATACTATTTTGCACCATCTGTCAGAAATAAAAACATCATCATAAAACACATTAAACTAGAAGAACGAACAAAATGACTAATATGAACAACAAAAACAACACAACAAATAGCGGAATACAACGCATGTCCTACCTCTGATGGACCCAATAACAATAACAAAGGTAAAAGTAAATGTAGCGATGACAATGAAAATAGAGTACAAGTACTCTGGGCCAAAACCTCGCATGCCTAAATTCGATAGGAACGAAAAACTAAGAAATGAAATTCAATCGGAGGATACGCAGTATGGAGAGCGAGGAAGACATCAAACACACTATCATAACAACACAACAAATAGCAGACATCAAACACACTATCATAACAACACAACAAATAGCAGACATCAAACACACTCTCACTCGACAAAGTGCCCCAATCTTAGTTATCAACTCCATGGTGATGCATAGGCAGGATTCATGAATAACTCTACCCTTACCGATGATAGTTGACACCAAGTTCATGAAGTCGAGTGTCATCTAAAAAACAACTCTGTGTTATGCTAGCAGAAGTGCACACTAAAGATCAGTTGTACCAAGCAAACAAGGTCGTATCCATAAAGATTGTTACTAAACACTCCAAAACATAAATAAGAAATACTAAAATCCTAAGCACAATAACACTAAATGTAAAAAAAATCAGTAATAAAGTGCAGAGAGAAAGATGCTAAGATAATAGATGTTGCATCGATTAATAAGGAAACAGAGGATGGTTCGTTGCTTTTTTGTTCTCTGCTACCACCAGATGCTCTAGCATCAACGTCGTAGCCCAAACTGACATAGATCAAGAGTTGGTAATGTTACATGAATTTTATTCCTAAGCATTCACACTTTACTAAGAGTACTTACTTCTTCGGTTGCTTAATCAATCAGTAAAAACAGTTGTTATGCAATGTTACGTGAATCTTATTCCTAAGCATTCACACTTTAACTTGAAATCTAGATCACATATTAAATAGAGCCAAACACGCATCTCGTATATTTTTTCAAACATACAAGGAGCTGGTAATTCAAAAATGGTGACCAACATTCAAGAAAAGCAAAGAAAGACAATACAACTCTATTTGAAAGCAAGTAACATCCAATGTTAACAACAAAAAATTATAACCTCTCACGAAAATGGATTTAGCTCATAATGGATGGAAAAAACAGCAAAATACAGGGAAGAATACAACTCATTCTAGTGCAAGTTCGAGGGATTATCCTTCAACTTCTTCCCAGAAAATCGTTAGGTCCTTATCTGCCTTCGTGCATCGGCTCTAAAATCAAGACATTCCTTCCCATTTTCATTTTGTGTCTTTTAGGTCTTTCCTTTTTGGGATTACTCCGGTGGAATCCTCATTTCTTTCGCTTTTATATCACCCTTTAATTTTAGGACAGCAGACAACAGAACAGGTGTACAATACATCAGGTGAAAATCCGCTTGAAAATTAGTTACCGCGTTGCCTTCACTTTTTTTTTACTTGATAATCTAGCATCGCATAACTTGGATTTTGGCTGAACACTACATAGCTCTGCTACTAATGCTTCAGCATCTCTTGCATAGAGGGTTCAAAAACAGCACAAACTAAGTCAATTTTTCTAAGTTTTCAAACCTAATTATACACTAAGCTGACTTTCATATTTTACCATCTAACCCCTAAATCAAAGCGAAATTAGAACAAGGACTCTAGAAATTATATCAATAAAATCCCGAAATAGGGCCAAAATAACTCTCCTATAGAGAGTTATCACCGAGACTCACCCACCCTAGTTTTTCAGTCTCAATCTGTATACATCTTGAAATTAGAGTAATTGCCATAAACTTTTCATAAAAGCATTTTCGTGATCATACACACATAATGAGGTCTCATCAAATAAACATTCTTTGATACAACATGACAATCACACGTAACAATCACCTCCATAAATAACATTCGACTCCTTTTGTTTCATTTATTTTTTCCACGCAGAGGGACTAATTCCTATTAGAAATCAGAAAATGCCAATTAAAAGAAAAAAATAAGGGTAGTTCATGTATTTATACATGCATAAATACATTTAAATATTTAGTCACCTTCATAATCATGTCATAATTTCATCCAAAAAAAAATCATAATCATATCATGAAAGAATATTTTGCTTTAATGGGATTCTCCCTACATTGTAAAAAATAATGGAAATAATAAATTGGAATCCCCTCCCCGCATTGAAATGTTTCCTAGACTGATGTAACGCACCATATGTTAAGTGAATGGTATCGTCCAACCCTGCTATTCGGGTATGTAGTTTCAATATCTTAGATAATGAATACTTTAAATTAATCCGATTTTGCTCATCGAGCAATCTATAATATATTTTGTCAATTTGAATATATCTCAATTAGTTAAGACATTTATTCTCAATAAAAAAAACTAGGGATTCGAATTTCATCCCATTTGTTGTTGAACTCAAAAAGAAAAAAAAGGGAGGTATTATTACTTATTACTCAAAAATTTATTAACGCGACAACCACATTTAATAGATCATATCAATGCCTAATGTAAGATTACCTATATTCCACGACGATAAAGGATAGTATATAATGTCAATTTCTTAAAATATCTATCACGTGCGACTATGATTTAAAGCATCAGAATCCACCTTTTTTTTCCCACTTAACCCAAAGAAAAAAAATATATAAAAAAAAAGATACCAAATTTGCATAAACCTTACGCCAACAGTTCATTGATGGAACACAAGGCACACCTATAAAAGCTTAATAAGGCAAATGGGTGTAGTGAGAAACCAACAAGTTTGGTTTAATGAAGAGGAGGTGGGTTTAGTGAGCAAATCCAGTTGTAGGGCAGCCCCCCGTTGGGCATGGCAGTGGAGTTTTACTTTTTATCCAAAAATTTCAATGTTAATTCCACAGATTTTGCCCAGTGGGGGCTGCCCTGTGACTGCTTTAGCTTTTTCTTCTTTTGCATTATTTCTATTGTGGGCGAATTCTCACGTGT